AACCTGGGAGGTGGAGCGTGCAGTGAGCCAATATTGCACCACTGCACTCCAGCCTGAGCAACAGAGTTAAGATAATGTCTTAAAAAAAAGAAAAAGAAAGGGGGCAACTCTTCCTCAGTTCATGTTTGCCCTCTAGTCTTTCCTTTTGAAGAAATATATAGAAATATATACATTTCAGAAGAAACGACCAGTTCTTTTCACATATTTTTAGTTTTTCCATTTTCTCTTTTGGACAAAATCTACAGACTTCTTCTGTGATGTAGAATTCAACATTTTAAATCCTTTTTGTCTGACACAACCCACATTAAGGAATACAACTTCAGCCAGGTACAATAGTGCACACTTGTAGTCCAAGCTACACAGGAGGCTGAGTGAGGAGGATCGCTTGAGCCTAGGAATGTGAAGCTGTAGTAAACTGTGATCCCACCTGTGAATAACCACTGCACTCCGGCCCTGGCAACATAGTGAGACCCCCATCTCAAAAAAAGCACAAAGTTTACATCATTACGTAGTATAATACTTAACCTTACTACCTACTCTATATCCTAGTGTTTTCTGTTCTAGTCTAGAGCATTTCAGTTTTGGTTAGAGTTGTTTGTTTTAAACCACTGAGCTGGTTTTATGACCCACCGACGAGATCCAGCTTGCATTTTCCTTCCTTTGGGTAGGAAAGATTGAAAAAGTTCCTTGTTTATCTTTTCTATTCTTTTTTTCCCCCTACTTGTCTTTCCTCATCAGTGTTAATAATGTCACTCCCTTTAACTCATTTACACAAGCATTAAGGTATCATTATTTACCTATTCCTAGATTAGAGTCCCCTTCCAAAGGATGCATCAGATTTTGCCTAAATATTTGTTTTCCATTCTGATTTATTCTCAATTTTTTTTACATTTAAAGAGCTATAATTGATAAACTGCACATATTAAAGTGTACATTTAGGTATGTTTTGATATATGTATACACCCATAAAACCACACAGTCATGATTATGAACATGTCAGTTACCCCCAGAAGATTTCTCGTGCCGTTTTGTAATCTCTCCTCAACTTTCTCTATCCCCCATGAGTCCCCAGGCAACCACTGATCCACTTTCTGTCACTAGAGATTAGTTTACATGTTCTAGAATTTTATATAAATGGAATCATATAAATGTACTGTTTTCTCACTTCTTTCAGTATAATTATTTTCAGATTTATTCATGTTCTTATGTGTATCCATAGTTTATTAATTGCTGAGTAGTATTTCATTGTATGCATATGATACAGTTTGTTTGTCTATCCACTCGTGATAGATATTTGGTTTTTTTCCAGTTTCAACTGTTACAAATAAAGCTGCTATGAATATTCATGTACAAGTCTTTGTATAAACATATGGTTTTATTTGCTTAGGTAAATACCTAAGAGTAGAATGGTTGAATCGTGTGGTAGGTATATATTTAACTTTTTAAGAAACTGCCGGTTTTTATGGCCGGGCGCAGTGGCTCACACTGGTAATCCCAGCACTTTGGGAGGCCGAG